TATATATATATTACTGATAGTAGTGTCTTCTGTATGTTTTTGTTGTCCAACTACTTCTGTATACTTAGACCTTTTTCTGGAATTTTGTCAAAACACCTARGTAACTTTATTTAAAACAAGATTCCCTGTAGAAATAAAGTGAGATCTCAAATTCATCAAAACGTTCTTTTTGAAATCTTCTCCAGTGTGCATGCTCTACTTTTGTCTCCTTGTGCTACTTTTAGCTTTTAGCTACTCTTCTGCTCATTTCGCCACCATTTTGCMACTTTTACCATTTAGTTAACATTTTGTCTATTTTAGTTTTTAGCAGCAGTTTGCTAATTTTAGCTATTGTTTTGCTGATTTTAATTACGATTTAGCAGATTTTAAGATCTGTTTTGCTAATTCTGCTAATTCTGCTCTGCATTTAGCAGCTGTTCTGCTTTTGTTCTCGTTTCAACTTCTCTTTGGCTTGTTTTACCTCCATCAGCTCAGCTTCTAAAGCAAATTTCAACGTTTATTTTTACGCTTCTCTGCTTGTCGTAGTGGAGCCGGGTGAAATTTTGACTGAAGATGTTTGGATGGGGGGGAGGGGATTCCTCCTGATGAAGATTACACCTGACTGCCCTGCTATTATGTCACCCGTCTGGTTTTGATTACAGATATAGACGAGTGTTTCTTCGAGCGCACATGTGATCACACATGTGTGAACTCCCCCGGTGGTTTTCAGTGTCTGTGCAACAAAGGCTACACCATGTACGGGCTGGCCCACTGCGGAGGTGAGACAAGTGGAACGGGCCAAGCTCAGTTTCATGTTTTCACACAGAAAAACAAAAAGCAAACAAATGCGTGTGTTTGTTCACTGCCGTGCTGGACGCTGCGTCCCACTAAACTGTGCTTTTCGTCCCAGATATAAACGAGTGCAGCGTGAACAACGGAGGCTGTGAACATGGCTGTGTGAACACCGTAGGTGGATTTGAGTGCTCCTGTCGGCCCGGCTATAAGCTGCACTGGAACAAGAAGGACTGCATTAGTAAGTCGGTGCTTCTTCCACTGTCATGCTTTTGTCTAATTGGTTTGTTGACTGGAGCYTTTCGTGGGGACAAAAACAGGAGATACTTTGAGTCGTTTTCCTTTTCTCTTTAGTGCTCTGCTTGAGTAAAAACATACYAATTGCACTTATTCTTGCATGTAGGTTTTTTTTTTTTTGTGCACGTTCCTCTGCATTGCATTGCAATCAAACACATTCTGTTTTATCTTTGAGTTTTGTTGTGGTTTCCATTTAGAGGCTGAGGGTTTAACACCTGCAAAACCCSTCTCTAAGCCCACCTTGAACTGTAGTAAGCAGCAGGGAGGGGACCGCTGCTTTCTGACCTGCCAGTCTCAAGTTCACATCAGGAGTGGTGAGTACAGCCTGACCTCCGGACCTGCTCTTATTACCAAATACCTCCACTTGTACATGTTTTCCTTTCATTGAATGTTTCAACACTAATTCTGTGAAAAAAAAAAATGCTTACATATTGTATGTTGCTTCTAAATAAGCCAGACTTACATGTAATGTTTTCAAGAGGTTTTAATCCACTGGTTCTCTTTAATTCTTTTACTTTGGCTGCTTTTTATCATTTTTTTTGTCCAGTCCTTGTACCTGACCATTACAGATAAGGAAATAAACAAGTGTTGAACAAAAAAAAAATCAAGTGTCAGGTCTAAACAAAACTATCTACAGCAAGTGAAACAGGATTTGAAAGTCACATCATGGTGAGTAATATCCATTTGACCAACATTTTCAGGTAATAGGAAACTGTGTTTTCTTTGAAATGTATTTCTATGGATTCAATAAAATAAAATAAAATAGCATTTTTATGATCGGCAGTCTGTTACTGACACAACAGCAGTTCATCTCTTGAGTTCTGGAATATTTTGAAGCACGAGAAATGTCTTGGGTCAGAGTTAAATAAATGAAAAAAAAACACAAAAGMTTGTCTGAAAATGTTCAGTTACTGGACTGAAAATGATTAATGATTAATTAAATGAGTAAAAAGCAACCAAAGTCCTGAGAACATCAGGAAGCCTGTGGACCATCCCTGGTAGCAAGGTGAAGTTAAATGTCTGAAGACTTTTGCACAGGACTGTACTATCTTTGTTATCCATCAACCCAGACTGGCTGGTTTATTTTATTTTATTTTATTTTTTCAGATTTACTTTCAAGTTTAACAGTTCGTCATTTGCTGAAAAGGTGTTTGGATTTTTTTGTTCATCAGTCACCAGCTGATTAGCAAAATCTAAACAGATTTTTTTTTAACTAAAAGGAGCTGCTAGTCTCATAGGAGGAAGACTTATTTGAATTATTATGTCACTAAAGCTTCTCTAAGGTGCCTTTTTATCAGATTGCAGGTGTTTTACAGCAGATTTAGACGTAGAATGGTTGCCACAGCGGGTGACCTTAGCAAAAACAACAGTGACGATAACTCAGCCTTGTGGAGCTAAAATTTGATGGTTGTAGCTGAGAGGCGTCTGATGTCTCGTGATATTGCATATTTGACCAAAATGGTTAAATCCTCTCAACACGACTTTAATACTTTGTCAGGATTACTTTAAAGAACACCATCTTTATGTTTTAAGACACCCACAACTCGTTTAATGCTAATATAATCTCTTATAAAGATGCAGGATGTAGTTTCTATACTCTTCACCTTTTTGTGGTAAATATTAGAGGCGTATTGTCGCTCTCTCCAGCCTTGTAGGTAAAAACGAGGTGACTCATGCCCAAACGCCCCAGCTTTATCTGATTGATGAAGCCATCAGTGTTTGGAATCTCGTCTCTGAAAAGGTCTTTAAGTCGAGCTGCTTCAGATCCAGCTGTGTGAACAGTTGTCAGCTTTAGTCCGCGGAGCGACTCGTCGTGTCCCTACATGCTTCCTCTTTGCTCTCTTCCTCGGCTTTTGTGGCCCTAACTTTTGTGAGCGCCGGTCCGTGTGTCACGGCCTCTTGTGTGTTTTTCAGGGACGGAGGATTCCTACACGGTGACCTGTGGAATGCCTCTGCCCTGCTTGGCTGACGTACAAAAGAACAACAGCGGCTTGCATTGCTTAGGCAAGTACAAAACCCCGCAGATCTACATCTGTCTTTCTGCTCTGTCACACAACAGCGGCACCTCCGGAACAGCTCAGGCTCCTGTTTGTTTTTCTTGTTGATGTATAAATAGATCCAAATGACAAGGTTTTCAATTTTTTTTTTGTCTTTCTGTCCTGCAGGTCCAGAAAAGCCCCGGGTTCCACGCATTAAGACCACAGCCACTTTTAGGTCTGGCACGGCTAAGTGCAATTTAAAACGAAGTCAGGAGAAACCCAGGGAGAGCATAAACCCGACACACTCAGGTACAGAAGCTGCCACACAGGAAACCCAACAATGTCTTCAAACACAAAACTGAGATGACACATAGACAAGGATCTGAATTATAGCGCCTTTATGTTTCTGTTAAAAAAACACTGGGTTTTTTAAGAGCTGCCAACATCTAAAGAAGATAAAGCAGACCTGAAAGCTGCTTCAAAGAAACCAAAAACCGAGGGCAAATGTGAAAGACATTTGTGGGGAAAGTGATGTGGTTTGGAGTGTTTTGAATGTCTCGGAGCAGCACTTTGTCTGGCACTGACAGGGGAGGATGTAATTAGCCATAGAAAAGCCTTTTTAGTTGCGTTTGACCCAGCCATCAATCAAACAGCTTCTTGATTGTAGGATTATTGTGCCTCTGAAAGGGGCTCCGAGTGGGTTTTTACATCACTTGCTGTTAGTTAAAGGAAACTTAATTGTTTCAGACATTTCAGTCTGTCTGCAAAGACCTCGTCCTTTTCAGCCTTTTACCCAAAAATGTTTTAAAGAAATTTGTTGAAGAAGCTAAAGTTAAGTTGTTAAATTTTGAACAATCAGAACAAAAACTGAAACGAAACGATAGCTAAAAGCTGAAATTAGCAAAACAGTAGCTAAAACAAGCAAACCAATAGATAAAATCTAAAATGAGCAAAACCGTAGCTAAAACAAGCAAAAATAATGGTTAAAAGCTAAAACCATCATAATAGTAACTAAATGCTAAACAGCAAAACAGTAGCTAAAACAAGCAAACCAATAGATAAAATCTAAAATGAGCAAAACCGTAGCTAAAACAAGCAAAAATAATGGTTAAAAGCTAAAACCATCATAATAGTAACTAAATGCTAAACAGCAAAACAGTAGCTAAAACAAAGCTAAACAATAGATAAACTCTAGAATGAGCAAATTAGTAGCTAAAACAAGTAAAACAATGGTTAAAAGCTAAAATCAGCAACATGATTGGTAAATACTAAAATCATCAAAACAATAATTAAAAGCAAATGCGATGAACAGTAGCTAAAACAAGCAAAATAAGGGTTAAAGCTAAAACCATCATAACAATAGCTAAATGCTAAACAGCAAAACAGTAGCTAAAACAAAGGTAAACAATAGATAAAATCTAAAATGAGGAAAACAGTAGCTAAAAAAATAAACAATAAACTCTAGAATGAGCAAATTAGTAGCTAAAACAAGCAAAAATAATGGTTAAAAGCTAAAATCGGCAAAACAATAATTAAAAGCAAATGCGATGAACAGTAGCTAAAACAACCAAAATCAGGGTCAAAGCTAAAACCATCATAACAGTAACTAAACGCTAAACAGCAAAACAATAGCTAAAACAAACTAAACAATATATAAACTCTAGAATGAGCAAATTAGTAGCTAAAACAAGTAAAACAATAGTTAAAAACTAAAACCATCATAAGAGTAACTAAATGCTAAACAGCAAAATAGTAGCTAAAACAAAGCTAAACAATAGATAAAATCTAGAATGAGCAAATTAGTAGCTAAAACAAGTAAAACAATAGTTAAAAGCTAAAACCATCATAACAGTAACTAAATGCTAAACAGCAAAACAGTAGCCAAAACAAAGCTAAACAACAGATAAAATCTAGAATGAGCAAATTAGTAGCTAAAACAAGAAAAAATATAATGGTTAAAAGCTAAAATCATGAGAGTAATTAAATGCTAACAGCAGCTAAGGGTTAAAACAAGCAAAACAGCTAAAAGCTTAAAATGAAGCAAGTGTAGTGTACAGAACACAAGAGTTCTCCATTCATTTCAATTGGAAAAAAGACTGTAAATAAATTTCTAAATAAAAAACTGAAACATACAAAAGCCAAATTTCGTAGCTGTATTGTTCTAATCGAGCCAAACATTTTGGCTTACGGATGAATAAAATAGCTGAAAATAAATACAGAGGAAACTCTAAACAGGAAACCAACCATGTGAATGCTGATTCAGCACTATTGTTTCAGTGGATTTATCAGTTTGAGTGATATTTGTTGTAAATGTTACACGTTTCCTTCACCGAGGCGCTGTCGTCTCTGTTGTCTGTGTTTGTCTCTGATGTTCACAGATAGCAGGTTCCTCTTCACCGAAAACGTCCAGTTCAGCTACGTGAGCCTGCGCTGCGCCTCCTCGGCGGGACAGCGGGCGCGCGGGCGCCACAGCAGAAGAGCCGGCGCGGAGGACGGCTTCTCCATCACAGCTGAGTTTGAGCTGGACGTTAACCTTGAGGAGGTAACAGGTTGGTCTCTCTGCGCTTCCTGCCTGCCTGCCCCGCTRGTGAACCCTTCGCTTCTCGGTCTCTGTCTGATCTGCCTGTCGCTGCCGTCTGTTTGTCACTAAACAAAACAAAATGTTAAAGTATCTCCTGTTTTGACTTGGCTCTGGTGGCGCTGGGGCTCTGAGTTAAAGGGCTTTCTGTTTTATTTCTCCAATTCACACATTTTTTGGTGGTTCTGGGTGTTTTTCTTTTTTTTTTTTTCGTTGTTTTTGTGGGGATCAAGCATGAAATTGGAAACAGTTGGTGTACTGAGTGTTTCTCTCAGCAGAGAACTGCGACCTGAACTGTGCGCGTCGGCGTTCGGAGAAAAGGCTGAGGAAGACCATCAGGACGTTGAGGAAGTCCATCAACCGGGAGCAGTTCCACCTTCACTTTGCCGGGGCGGACTATGAGCTGTCCAAAAGTCTGGCTCACCCAGCAGAKCTGCCGGGACACTGTCTCTTAGGACAGGTGTTGGTTGGCAGGAAGTGTGGTGAGTTTGATGCTATCATTTCCTTTGTGTTATCACTTATCTACGACTCATCAAACTTTGGAGCTAACCCATACCAAAATAGCTGCCACAGCCAACCAACTTTAGAAAACACAAAATAAACTGTATTTTAGCTACTTGTCCAGATATTGAGCTAGAAATTGGTGTGGTAGTACCTGAGCACCATCCCCAACATGTTTGTTGAGCACAACACATTGTGCAGTTTCTTTGTTGGCATCATCTCTGTTTGCAAAATATCTCATGAAGCATCGTTTCAACAAAGCTCTGAGAAAGTAATTGTTGACTGTATACGTCTGTTACTGATCAACCTTTGGAGTCATCGCAATTCAAGATGGCTGCCACAGCTAATCACCACATTTTACAGAAGAGGAGCTAAAAGGTGGTAAGGTTGTATAAAGTATTTGAAAATATTAACTAAGTAAAAGTAAAAATACCTTAACAGAAAGTGACTTTGGTAAAAGTGAATTTCACTGATAAGAAAAGTACTTAAGTAAAAGTCATAAAACTGCACACAGTTATCAGGAAAGTAAATGTACTTTTACACACGCTCTAAGAAATAAAGTGTTGAATTTGTTTAACCAGATTATATCAACTGGTTCCACTAAACTGAGTAAACTTAAAGTGTCTGTGACGCCAAATCTTTGTAATACATATGAAAGCATTTTTAGAAAGAAGACATTGGTAAAATAGTGCAAAATAAATTTCATGTCGCTGAGATGAACAGTTGTTGAGATATTTGCCTGTGAAGTAACAGGAAGTGATGTCAAAGGGGAATGTCTTCATGTGAACAGAGCGTTGTTACAACAGCCAACAACACAGACTGTAGAGAAGAATCTGATGTTTGTTTAGATTATTTTGAGTCTCTATCAGAGAGATGAAGAAGAGTTAAAGTTCAAATAATGTTTCAATAAACAAAGACCAGAGAGTTTTCTTTGTTAAAGAGTTCCCCTTTGATGTCACTTCCTGTTTCACTTTGGTTGAGCCAAGTTCAAAAGAAAATTTGCCAGTTATGTGACAAAATGGGTTAAATTGTGTGTATTATTCCAACTTTCTTAAATATAAAGATGTTTTCTTTGACTTTTTGCATCTGAAGAATATGCATGTCACAGGCACTTTAAAACTATTTAGTCAACTTGTTTTAGTGGAACCAGTTCCAACACTTTGTTTTTTAGAGTGCATAAACAACTCCTTTCATGTTGAGTTCTGGTCATATTTAAATTTATAACGTGTAACAAGGTGTTCAATTTTAAAGCAGAGATGTAAAAGTGTCGTTTTTATGTAGGAATGTAACAAAACAAACATAAAAGTTACTATTTTTAAAAGGTGCTGCAACGACATAAATGTACTTTTGTTACTAAACACCTCTGGTGATTACATCATGCGGCATCATTTAAAATTTCGCACGAGATTGCACATGATGTTATTTTAAAGGTTTTAGTTTTCTCATTTTTCCACATAAAATAAATTGTTGCCTGAAAATCGGCAGGTGATATCCACTCCTTCAAGGAATGCTAGGCCTTCACACAATAGAGCCACAGTCAGGCCTTTAAGCAGTGCCAGCATGGTCTGCTCCGAGCAGCAGGTTTAATGGTCAGATTCGGTGCAGGTGTTTGCCAGATGAGTGCCATATTTGGTTGGCAGACGTGCCGTAATGAGCGAGCTGGAGCGGAAAAGCGTCGCGGGAACAGAGAGCTCGTTGTTCGGGGGTCTCCGAGCCGTGAGATCTTCCAGCATCTCGCTGGGATAAGAGAGCGTGGTCTCCTGGTCGCCGTTGCCTCTCGGTCGAGTTTTTATACACAAGCTGCGCTGGAGAAACTGTTGGTCAAACATGACCACACACACACGCCGCCAAGCGAAGGAGCTGAAAGCTGGCTTGTGTTTTTCCTGGCCGACGCTGCCTCTGCGCCCCTGTTTTCAGGCCTCACGGTGGGGTTTGCTGGTCGGTGAAACATCTCGGGGAAAACGGTGCCTGCCCTCTAAATATTTATCCAGACTCTATGTGCTTTGTGTGATATATGAAGTGGCAGTTTTGAAGATGTTTGGCCAGATCTTCAGCGCCACATGTGAAGCCTGGAGGTGATGAAATTTCTAGGCTCCACTCTTTAATTTGCCTCAGGAGGTGTTTACTTTACTGTCCCGAACTATTTCTGGCGTTGCGATTAACACTTAATGTTTCGTCTGTTAAACTTTGCTACTTCTGCCCCCCTTCCACCGCCCTCCCCGCTATGCTTTTCGGGTCAACGTGAAGCAGTCTATTGGTCATGGCAGGGGTGCAGACATGTAATTTGGGAGAAGAGAAAAGAGGAGGAGTTGGGGATGGGGGGGGGGAGGGTGTTCCAAGAGGCATTCTTCTCAACCTCCAGCTTTTTAAAGGAGCTATATCCCCCCCCACCTCCCTCCCACTCTGGCTTAGAGTGCAGTTTTAGTCCTTTTCAGTTTGCCCACTCCATTGAAAAGCCCATTTGGGGCTCGTTCTCGCTCCCTCGGAGAGAAACAACAACACGGGCTTTCTGTGAATTTTGGAGTAAACACTGCACTTTTTTTTCATCATTTATTTCTTCTCCGTATTATGTTTTGTATTATTGTCAGCGTAGTTTAGAATCACGAGCACTGTGGTTGCCTCAAAGCGGTTATTTGAACTTAAAGTTGTGATTTCATCTAAAAGTGAGTCATTTATAAGGAGGTCAGGGAAGAGTTGCCGCATATTTGTTGCCTTGTTTGCATATTTATTTTAAAGGGATCCCTGATTAGTTGTAACATTACACTTTATTTGATAAACATATATTTTAACTGTAAAATAAAGACTTTAAAAATACTGTAGGCTGTTTAGGTTTATAAATTTTTAAAAATATATTTTAACACTGACGGAGTCATTTTATTTACACACAAAGCATTCTGGGTAAATTATGACGTGGATAGGTCCTCAGTGTGAGCGAGCTATATCCACCCTGAAGG